ATCATAGACGAGAATGTTGAGGCTCCAATGCACACCCAATAGCCAGAGGGTTTCACTGTTGCACACGTGTTTCAGGAGGCTATGGCTAAGATGGTCAGTTTCATCGATGCATTAACATAGGCTGGGTTGGTTCTAGTGGCTCCAGTCATATCTCAGGCAGGAGGGGGAGCTCAGAGCCCTGTCACTCGTACTCCAGAGTAGGAGCATATTACTATGTATTTTATAGTTGGACTTCCATGGACCTTGAGGAGATTTAACGCAGTGTGGATCATTGTGGATAGACTGACCAAGTCTGCACACTTCATTCCAGTCATGACTACCTATTCTTTAGAGCAACTGGTTCAGATCTATCTTCGTGAGACTGTTCGCCTTCATGGGGTGCTGGTGTCTATCATCTCGGATTGAGGCACACAGTTCACACCACATTTTTGGAGAGCCGTGCAACGTGAGTTTGGCACACAGGTTGAGCTGAGTACGGCATTTCATCAACAGATGGAAGGGCAGTCTGAGCGCACTATTCTGATCTTGGAGGACATGTTACGTGCCTATATTATTTATTTTGGAGGTTCATGGGATCAGTTTCTACCACTCGTACAGTTTGCCTACAATAACAGCTATCAGTCGAGTATCTAGATGGCTCCATATGAGGCTTTATATGGGAGTCGATGTAGTTCTTCGGTTGGTTGGTTTGAGCCTGGGGAGACTAGGTTGTTGGGCACTGATTTGGTCTGTGATGCCTTGGAGAAGGTGAAGTTAATTTAGTATCGACTTCGTACAGCGTAGTCAAGGCAGAAGAGTTATGCTGATCGGAGGGCTCGTGATGTGGCATTCATGGTGGTCGAGAGGGTCCTACTCAGAGTTTCACCCATGAAGGGTGTGATGAGGTTCGAGAAGAATGGAAAATTGAGCCCTCGATATATTGGTCCTTTTGAGATTCTTTAGAGAGTAGGTGAGGTGGCCTACAGACTTGCTTTGCCACCCAGATTATCGGGAGTTCACTCGGCCTTCCATTTTTCTATGCTCCGAAAGTATTATGGCGATCCGTCTCATGTGTTAGATTTTAGCAAAGTGCAATTGGACAAGGATTTGACTTATGTTAAGGAGCCGATGGCTATTTTTGGACAGGTAGATCCGAAAGTTGAGGTAGAAGGACATTGTATCGATGAAGGTTCAGTAGAGAGGTCAACTGGTCGAGGTGGCGACTTGGGGGACCGAGCATGATATGCAGAACCATTATTCTCATCTTTTTGGCACTTTATGTGTGTCTCTATACTCGTTCGAGGATGGATGTTTGTTTAAGAGGGAGAGAATATAATGACCTGATCGATCGTTTTATGTATTTGATCCCCGTTTTCCCTTTTGAAGCTTCACGTATATGTATTTATGGTTTTAAGACTTGCAGGGAAGGTCGGTGTCATTTCGGGAAGGTTTTGGTTTGAATTGGATCCATTTGTTCTTAGTTTAGAAGCCTAAGTTGGGAATGTGATTGAGGTTTGACTTTTGGGGAAATGACCCCGGAATGGTGTTTAGATTATTCCAATAGGTTTGTATGGTGATTTTGGACTTAGGCATATGCGCAGAATTGGATTCAGAGGTTCCTAGGCTGATTTGTCTTTTTTTGCCGAAAGTTAACAATTTGAAAGTTTAAAAATTTCCTAAGTTTAACTATAGGTTGACCTTACGGCTATTAGGTTCGGATTTTAGTTTCGGGACTTGGAATAGGTATGTTTTGTCATTTGGAACTTATCTGCAATATTTGGTAGCATCCTGAGTTGGTTTGGTAGGAATAGAATGCTTGGTTGTGATTCTAGTGATTCTTCAGTTTCATTAAAATTTTCATGTGTTTTGGTGTCCGATTCATGGTTCTAGATGTTATTTTGGTGTTTTGATTGCATGAATGAGTTTGTATGATGTTCTTAGAATTCTTTGGATGTTTGGTGTGGAGCCGCAGGGGTTTTGGTGAGTTTCAGACGCGTTTTGAATTAGTTTAGGTTGATTTCTCAGCAACTGGTGTGCTGGTGCTGCAATTATCGCAAATGCTAGCACCAGTTTGCATTTGCGGAATGCACACTGTATTTTCGAAGGGGGGAATGGGTGGTAGGCTTCGTATTTGCGAAGCCATCTCGCAAATGCGAATCGGGACCGGGCTGAGAGTTGTTCGCTTTTGTGACCAAATGGCAGTTTTTGCGAGGGGGATTGATTGCTCAAATGCGAATTCAAGGTCGTATTTGGGACATTACATATGTCTATCAAGAATTGCATTTGCGATGCATTTGTTGCATCTGTGAGGTTCGCATTTGCGAACCCCAGGTCATATTTGCGAAATTTGCAGCTAAACAAAATAGTCGAATTTTGGGACTTAACTTCATTTATCGCATTTTTTAGCCCTAGACTCGGCGGGAGGCGATTTTGAGAGGAGACTTTTATACAAAACTATTGGGTAAGTGATTTTGATCCATTTTTATTATATAACATGATTACTTATGAGATTCAATATCTAATCCATAGAATTGGAAGAGAATTTTTGGAAAATTTGTCTATATTTTGAAAAATGAATATTTGAGATTTGAGAGTCGAATTGGACTCTGATTTGAAAAGAAAATGCAAATATGGACTCTTGGGATTATGGGTTGTCAAGATCTACCATTTGACTTGGGTTTTGGCCGGACGGGTCCGAGGTTGAATTTTGTTGAATTTTGATGAATTGTGTAAAGATCTTAACTCTATTAACCGAAATTGGTTTCTCTTGCATTGTTTTGACATTATTAAGTCATTTTTGCTAGATTTGAGTCGTGCGTAGGCGAATTTTAAGGAAAAAACTATTTTTGAGTATTGATTTGGCCTAATTGAGGTAAGTGTCTTGTCTAACCTTGTGTGGAAGAATTACCCCTTCGAATTTAGTTTATTTGCATTAATTGTAATATGTGAAAAGACGTGTACATGAGGTGATGAGTGTGTACATGGGCTTTTGTGTGGTAACTGACCGGATAAGACTCTTAGGCTATTAATATGCCTTGAATTGAAGTTGTTATTATATGGAATACATTGCATTGTTGAGTTATTCCACGTTTCATTGCGTTGTTGTTATAATTCTTTTATTCCATATTGTTGAGCCATGGGCTATTTATCGTTGTGGCATTGATATTGTTGGTTGAGAAATATTGTGACATATGAGCACGTGATGTGCGATTGATTGTTGTAATGTGATTGAGATACGCATGCGACAACATAAGGATGGTGTGTATATTGATGAGCATGCAACGAGATAAGGGGATTTATGCACATGTATCTAGTAAGGGGAAATACTACATTGTGAGGCACACATAACGAGATAAGAGGGCTTATGCACGTGAAGCTATTTCGGGGAAATTTTTTAAAAATGTGAAGCTCACGCAATGTCATAAGGAAGATTATAGTTTGTGGCTTGTGATTTATGATTATGAGGCGTTGTACCTCCGGGTGATTCTTGTTGTAAATCTTGTATTGGCACAACTTAATGATTTGAACTGTCATTTTTTTCTTGATTGATTTCACTTGTATTTTAATTGTATTTTGATTATTTTATTATTTTATCACATGTTTACTCTTTGTTGCCATTATATAGCTTGCTTTCTATTGTTGGCTTTATACTTATATTCTGCACTAGTTTTTATGGCTAGTGAGTGTCTTGAATTCAACCTCATCACTACTCCACCGAGGTTCGTATTGATACTTATTGGGTACCAATTGTGGTGTACTCATACTATACTTTTGTATATTTTTGTGAAGATCCAAGTACCTCTGAGCGTGCTGGTCAGTACTGAGCTGATTTGAGAAATCTATGGAGATTTCAAGGTATACCTGCCATTTCGCTTATAGGCCTCGGAGTCACCTTCTGCTGATTTTCTTACTATTGCTTATTGTATTTCCAAATAGTATTGTATTTTAAGAGTTCACACGTACTCTCTGTCGAGCTTATGACTCGGTAGCACCGGTTTTGGGATCTCTGTGACTTATATATTTCCGTTGTTGGTTATGTTAAAGTACTTTTCAGCTTTGATTATTATTTAAATTAGTGTTTGGTTCTTTTGATCTTGCTATGTGATAGGCTTACCTAGTTTGAGATACTATGTGCCATCACGATCCTAAAGGTGGAATTTTGGGGTCGTGACATCAGGAGTGGACAAAATCTGTATTATACTTTTTTATATTAAGCAAGGATACTTTGTCAAATGGTAAACTAATAAACGACACATGAAAATGCAAAAATAATAAATAATAAATAATATAATAATGACAAGTAATAATTAAAAAAAATAGAAGGATGAGACTTATTTAAATTTGATATGAGAAAGTGCGTTTTCAATTTTGATAAGAAAAGCCATATAATAAATAATATCACATAACTGAAAATTTAATAAAATTAAAACCAGAAAATATTGAACAATAAAAGAATTTCAAGTGAGTAAATAAGCTTACTCACAAAAAAACAAAAAAAATACTATAAAAATATAGATATAAGATTTATTTGAATTTGAGATGAAAAAGTATCTTTTGAATTATGATGAAAAAATTCATGTAATGGATTATATAACATAACTAAAATCATAATAGATAAAGTCAACAAATAAAAATATAGAAGAATGAAAGAAGTGGCAATCTGTGGGAGATATTAGCAAAGCTAAATGAGTTGGCTGGCTTTTCGCTGGATGAAGAAATTTAACTTTTTGAAGTTAATTGTTCTTCTTCTCTAGCAATAATTTTATAGTGTCACGACCCAGTAATGATACATAACATCCGCTTGCTAGGCAAGCCAACATTAGCACAACAACTAAAACAGTTTAACAATAAAAGAGACATTAATAATCATGAAAGGGTAGAATAGAATCTATATAAATATATAATAGAGGGCCTTTGACCGGTTACGTGGTACTCCCATTGGGCAGGAAATTCATTTTTCTGCCTCTACGTCTTTTCACTTGTCAGAAAATTCACCCCTTTAAAACTTAAAGATTAACCGCTCAACAACAAAAGACTCCTCACGCTACAACCTTACCGCTTCACATACACAAACGCCGCTTCCCACAGGCCACAAACATAGTTTTCTTCCCACAGGGATTTGTTACTCACTGTTGCCCTACTTATCTCACTTTTCATACTCTATCGATTCATCTCTAATCTTTCATCTCTATTTTTAATTTCCTTCTGCAACTTCTCGCTACCTTGACCTTTGTTAAAATTCTTCAAACGCAACTCTCTCTAACTTCTTTGTTCTATTTATTTTTTTAGGGGAAAGGAAAATCTGCTTTATTCACTGCTAACCTCTAGGTTTTTCCCTCGCCACAGTTTTCCTCACCAAATGCCAATGAAGCCTAGGAAACAAAATATATTTTTGCCCACTGTTTGTAATCCTTTCAAAGTCAATATTTACCATTTTTTTATTCTTCTAAAATTGTTTACATCCTAATCTTACTGTATAGGTGTGGACAACCAATGATTGGGGTGCCAAAATACCGTAAAGAGATTGAGGTACAGTCCAAAATTTGAAAATCTGCTTTATTCACTGCTAACCTCTAGGTTTTTCCCTCGCCACAGTTTTCCTCACCAAATGCCAATGAAGTCTAGGAAACAAAATATATTTTCGCCCACGGTTTCTAATCCTTTCAAAGTTAATATTTACCATTTATGCCATTTTCTTATTCTTCTAAAATTGTTTACATCCTAATCTTACTTTATAGGTGTGGACAACCAATGATTGGGGTGCCAAAATACCGTGAAGAGATTGAGGTACAGTCCAAAACTTCTTCACTACTATGCTTTTTGCACAATTCATAACTATTGGTGTGAATATTCTGGAATACTCTAATTTTCTTCCAAAATCAATAACTAAGGATGTAAACATTGTGTTAAGATTCTAGAACAGTTCAAACTTTGTGAAAAATTAAATTTTATTCACTACTATATGATTTTAACACAATATAACTAATGTCTAAATATTATGAAATACTATAATTATTTGCCTCATTACTGCTTTTTTACTTGGAAGCAAAGTTCGACAATAATTTCTTTAAATATTGATTATATATATAGATTCATCCTACATTAGTATTATTATATTTGGCCTGCTTATTTCCTTTGCGTTCTGATTGAAGTCCAAAATACGCATTTAACAAAGCGACAAAAACATAATGATCAGAAACATTCTTTTCCCAGAGCACTATTGTAAAACTAGGAAATCTATTCTGCAATTTTCTTATATCTTGCTCTTTTCCTTTATTCAAAAGACATGCCTCTTTTTAATCCTAAGTCATGCCTCCTACTCTTCTTCTTTCTCTTCCTACAAAACTCACTCCTTCTATAGTAATATCTATAAATATTATTTTTTCACGCCTGCAGTGGATAACAACTGGATGAATCCTGATATCTTTAGACAAACTAAGGGGAAAAAAGAGGTTACGCCTTTAACAACAATATCTATAAATATTGTTTATATATAGTTTAGTGTTATGGTGTTTACACTGTTCTAGATTTGTATTGTAGCCTTATATTTTGGTACTGCATAGCAGTTCATTTTTCTGTTACTTCTCTTTGTCTAAAAATAGCGCATTCGATATGAAGTTTAGATTGCCTTAGCTTGTCTAACAGAGCATAATATGTATAAATATTTTTTATATATAGTTTACTTAAATGATGTTTAGATTGGCTTAGCCTTTTATCGTAGCCTCGGAAATTGATATTGGATAGTAGTGCAACTTCCTCTTCTGTTAGCATTTCTTTCTCTACACTTTTATGCTCTGCTTGCATCGATATATATCATGCAATTATCAAAGGTAAAATTTTATGCATGATACATTGCATTTGTCACTGTAACAAGTGCAACTAAAGAACCTAAAGTCTCCATACATTTGATGTATCGAAACATCTCACAAATATGGATTGAATATTTGATAAATAAACGAGTACAACTTAGAGCTGAAATATATGTAAGAGTTTACTCGATCAATAATGCAAAGATTGACTTTTAATATATTTGCGTATGTAAAAATATTATATATGTTATTATATTTATGACTTTTGAATTACATTATTGTAGATAAATAGTTTATAGTATACTATTCTGGACTCGTCATTAGGCCATCATCCTCAGAAAAATTTATTCCACATACAATATGTTATTTTCAAGGTTGAAGTGAAGATTTTCACACTATCATGGGTGCAAATTGGATATCCTTCTCTCAAATATTTACCAAAGTTGTTATCAAAATCTAAAGACAACGCAAACGATCATTACATATGATATTGTGGAGTAAGGAACTTTACCAAGTGAATATTGTGACTTACTCTTGCAATAACTTATTCTGATTACAATTGTTTGGTTATCTTTATGTCAAGGCTATATATGGAGTGGAAAGAATAACTATTTAATCCGGTATATAACATTTTCACTGTATGCAAGCCCATTTCATTCTAACTATGTGTTTTAAATAAACTAAGGTTATCAAAAGTTTACTTTTACAAATTAAAGTATGTTGCCATGTGTTTGCAGATTCGGTTTATTTTAGAACTCAGTTAGTTCAAATGGTAAACAACTTAATGTTCACGGTTTGCAAGTTAGGATTTATTTATAGTCGTTGTTTATATAAATTCAGATAGAAACTTGCATTTTGTAGTTAAATCTTCTGTTGCTCCTCTACCTTCCTCTCTTCCTATTATTTTTCATATAGCAGCTTTTTGGTTTAAATATGTATTGCTACGTAGTAAAGCATTGTTCAATAATTCATTTTTTTCTGTTGTCTGATGCATATATGACACGAAATATAGTGGGAGATTGGCCATATATAAGGTGTCTTTGTAAATGGAGGTCCTATTCTTCTGATATTTATTGTTGTCTATTTTCAGGAAAATATGACACAAAGCTGCTTGAAGAGTATGTCTTTGTTATTGTAAAAGAAGTTCATTACATGTTTGTGTCAATGTTAGACTATGAGTTTAGATTAATTGATTATGTAAAAAGTGAGGGTGAGAGAAAGAAGAAATAAGAAAGAAAAGGGTCGGATGAATAAGTACTCAAGTAACGGAGAGATATATTTGATTGATTCTTTTCCTTTTTTTTTCAATTTCATCTCTTTTTCTTTTTTGTTTCCTTCTCTTTTAACTTTTTGATTAATTTCTATTTTAGGGAATTGAAAAACTATCAAATTTATGAAACATAGGTGTGAACAATTAATAGTAAGAAATAAAATATCAACAAAGACGCCTTAGAGAAAGAAAGAAAGCAAGCGACATCTTAGGTTTATATTCCTAGGCTTTTACCTTATAATTTTTTTTCCATTTTAAATTTTATTTTTCCCTAATTCAAGTCACTTATATTGTTCTAAATGATTTTAAGTCATGACCTGTACTTTCAGATTTAACATGAAATATCAGTTCTGTAAAAAATTATATATATAGGCCTGAAATCATCATGCATGGAGAGATTTCTTTCTATAACAATTTCAACATATAAATTTAAAGAAGTATGGAAAGATAGTAAAATCACGTAAACATGGTTGATTAGAATTTCATTTGTTTAACAAAATTATAACATTATTATTTAATTACGTTCTTATATTTTTCATAATCGCGCGAAGCGCGAGCAAATATACTAGTAAATGAATAATAGGTGCAGAACCAAACGTGATCTAAGAAGATCCCCAGAAACTGGTGTAACATGCCTCTAATAATGCTAAATATAAGTTTGAAATGAAAATACAATACTGTCTGGAACAATAAATAATAGATAAAAGTACAAAGGGGACTTCAGGGTCTGCGATCGCCAAGCAGCACTACCTTAAGTCTCCTAGAAGAAAGGGTCCGAGCTATCACCTCTGAAATTGTTGGGACCAACACTGTGATCTTCACAGAAGTGCATAAGTGTAGTATGAGTACAACCGAACCCATGTACTCAGTAAGTATCGAGCTTGCCATGCCCCAAAACGGAGGAGCGCGACCGGCGCTCAACCGAATGAATCCGACTGAGCAAACCTATTAGATTTCATTCTACCCAAACTCATCCACGAATAGAGATAATACATATTTTCATTAATTAGACAAATAGGTGTTCATGTCTACAATACCAATTCATTACTAATAGTTTTATCATTTTGAAAGTCTAAAATGGACAAATAATACAACCACAACATAACATATTTTGACTTTTTCAGCACCAATACACAACCCACACTATGTTTACTGAGCCTCTATAGATAAATAAGAGTACAATGATAATGCCGGCAACAAGGCCCCGGCTATACCTCAAACATAATACACATAGTACAAAAGATTCATCACCCTGGGATAAAGTGGGGTTCACCAAGTCTGCTGAGAAGAAGGTGTACTGCTATCACTGATCAATATCTCCTGCTGTGGAACCACTTGCATCCATTTAAAGATGCAGCGCCCCCGACAAAAGGGATGTTAGTACCGTCGAATAGTACTAGTATGAAAACCAAACACCCTCTCAATATAACAAATGATACAAATAAGAATATAATAATATCAATGAAAGCCCTAATCAACATCAAACCTCAATTTAGGATCAAGACAGTATTCATATTAATTTTCATATCTCACATTGGGAGATTTTTAGTATCGATATTTCATTGTTCACAATACCATTATTCACTATACCAATACTCTCAGCACGGAGTTCGATCACGACCTGATTGGTTAGGCTATCTCATTAGAGACATCAATCACAATTACCCTCAATGTCAATAACACCGTCTTTAACACGGAGTCCGATCACGACCCGATCGGCTAGGCTATCCATTAGGGACATCGACCACAATCACAATTTCAATTATAATTTCCAGCACAATCACCACCATGTGTGCGGTATGGTATTCGATCATGACCCGACCGGCTAGGCTGTCTTATTCGAGACATCAACCTTTTTATATCAATCATTGCATTTCATATTACTTTCACATCTTTTCATTTCATTGGCACTAATGGCCATAATTATAAGATCATTCTTGGCACGTTGGCCATATTTAGTATTTCCTGCTCACCCTTTTACTTTCTAACATCAACATCATCAACAACAATTCAAATCAAGGCATGTAGTGTACATGTGAGCAATTAAGAGTCTAAGGCACATAGAGATTCTTCACAAAATTTGGCATAATAGCCTTCGTTTGAATTTAACTTGAAGTCGAACATTTCTAATGTATAACCCATATTTTTAACACATCCTCAATTGATAACACAACATAAATAAAGTATTTGGAATACTTTTTGAACATATATCTTTCAACCCAATCTTACTTGGAATAGCCAATTTCCTAATGAACCACTCGGGACTTACATAATTTACATGAATATCATGGGATTCAATTCTAAGAGAAGAGTTTAGCCAACATACCTCAATTGAGCTTCCTTAAACTCTAAAATATTCTGGAATTCTTAGCAACTTCAATCTATTGTAGAAATATAACAAATTGAACCAAAATTAGAAGATGATCATGGTTCTAGCTCATTTGAGCATTTTATCAAACACTAGGTGTTTTCAAGGTCTTTTCATGGAGAATTCCATCATCACACAGCCCAATCTTTATAATTTTTAGCTCAACAATCTTCCTACATCCTTTGATAACACATGCATGTAAAATAAATATATCTCATGTCCAAAAATTATGTTGCTAATTACCCATTTCTAGACAAAATTTAAAATTGAGGGTTAAGGTATAGAATCTTACCTCTAGGATGAAGACCTAGTGAGTTTTCCTTCTTAATCTTCCAAAACATGAGCAAGAATTGAAGAATAATTATTGAAGAACACCTTCTCACTCTAGGGCACTCTCTCTCACTCTAAAATATCAGATTGTAGCTCAAAAATGGCCCAAAGAGTGTATTTAACAAAATAGGGTCGGATTTTAAAAATCCAAAAATGAAGCTCCGGAACAGGTTCTGCGATCGCATATGTGATCGCATAATCAATATGCGGACTGCATATCGGTCGCATAATTACTGACCAAACGACCAAAAATCCGCCTGTGTTTGCGATAACTATGCGGTCCACATAACTATTCTGCGGTCGCATAATGAACCGCAGAACAGTTAGGCGGTCGCATAGTCGACCGCATAATTGCATCCAAGCTGACCCTCTTCCGCCTCACTTCTGCGGCCATTATGCGGCCCGCAGAGTGATTCTGCGGTCGCATAATGGACCGCAGAAACATGTTCTTCTTTACTTTACGGTGCATTGTTCAACCCAAAAAGTCTGAGCCACGGTCGCAAGCTCGCCGCGAAGAATTTCTATAATACTCAACACGTAAAACTAATTCGGCACCACGAAACATTATTTTCTTTTGCAAAATTTTACGGGGCCTTATAGAACTTAACCTCGACGAAGTAGTGACGAAGTTATGATAAGACAATCATTATAAACTTGTACGAGCAATAAACAGAAAAGCAATAACGAGATAGAGAAATGAATAGCTACATAAAACTGCTAAATAAAATGCGTCCCATGCCAAAATATCACAAGTACCGCCTCGTCTTGGGCCATCGCACAGGAAAACTATAATCGAAATCCTTTTTATCTGGCATTAACTTGGAACCACGTGCATCTAAAGCACCTTTTACTATGATCAATGTAGTTGTATGTAAACCAAGAGCAATAGCATGATGAACAAAAAAGTCTCCAAGACCTATTATTAAAAATAATAAATTATTATTTTATTAACAAAATTTAACCAACCCGGCAACATATGCTTCGACAAAACGGAACAAGAAAGTAAATGATACAGGGCCCCAGAATTGCGTCACATCACAGTCTTACAACACCACACGGTGGCGGAATATAATAACCACAATTCATCTTTTTCGTTGCGGCACACAACCCGATTCACATATCAATACTGATACCATTGCCGCATGCAACCCAATTCACAAATATAATAATAATTCTATTGTGGTATGCAACCCGATCCAATATATCAGTAAAAACCAAATACGGATAACACAACATAAAAAGGGAATTAAACATATAATTCTCTAAGACAATCCGATGTAACATAGTAGAGTGAAACCGGAAATAAGTTTAAGGCAATAATGCAAGTAAAAACATAAAATAGTAGAAGCATCTATCTAATACATGTGAGAGCATACAACAAGTAAAGGCGGAAAATTTAAAAAATTATGAATAAATGGAAGCATGTAACAATTAAAGACATGTAGCAAGTGAAGGAGTGTATATAACAAGTAAAGACATGTTTTAAGTAAAAGCACATAACAAGTAAAAACATAAAATAAATGAAGACATGGTATAATTAAAAATATGCAATAAAGTAGTACACCCCGTATGGTTGAACCCATGAAAACTCATATACACTTGTCACCTTACATATAAGTCATCCCCACATATAAATTACATAGAAAATAGACCAATCAAGTCCTATTTCCCTCAAATATAGGTTAACCACGACACTTACCTCTTTTCGGAAAAAGGTCAATAATCCAACACGACTTTTTCTTTAGAACAAGCCTCCAAACCACCCGAATCTAGTTAAATATTATTCAAACAAGTCAAAACAAGCTTTAGAAACTACTCTCGTAATAAAAAGTTTGATCTATAACACAACTGAAAAGTCAACAAAAAGTCAAACCGGGCGCACGTGGTCGAAATTCAAAATTAGGATCAAATCCCGATTACCCATTCACTCCCGAGCCCGAATATATGATTTATTTCGAAATCCAACCTAAATTTGAGGTCTAAATCACAATTTTACAAAATCTCTAGTTTCTACACAAAACCCCCAACAACTGCTCTAAAAATCCTAGATTTTATAATGAAATTCATGAAAAAAGTAATAAAAATTGAATGGAAACAAGTTAAAGTTACTAACTTATGAAGTTGAGAAAAGATTTTTCTCCAAAAATTGCCTCTACAGAGTGTAGATTTAAAAAATAAGTATAAAATGAGCTAAGTCCCGAAAGTTTTAACTTTTACCCAGCTGCAAGTATTGCAATTGCGAACGATGTTCACAAATGCGATCAGTGCCTGAGCGCCTCTGATGTTGCCAAGATCGACACAATCCTTCGCAAATGCGAAGGCGCCCCTTCCGCACAAGCG